GTGCAGTGGCTGGATCTCAGCTCACTGCAAGCCCCGCCTCCCGGGTTCACGCCATTCTCCTGCCTCAGCCTCCCGAGTAGCTGGGAGTACAGGCGCCCGCCACCTCGCCCGGCTAATTTTTTTTGTATTTTAGTAGAGACGGGGTTTCACCGTGTTAGCCAGGATGGTCTCGATCTCCTGAACTCGTGATCCGCCCGTCTTGGCCTCCCAAAGTGCTGGGATTACAGGCTTGAGCCACCGCGCCCGGCCACACCTGGCTAATTTTTGTATTTTTATTACAGATAGGGTTTCGTCATATTGGCCAGGCTGGTCTTGAACTCCTGACTACAAGTGATCTGCCCGTCTCAGCCTTCCAAAGTGCTGGGATTATAGGCGTGAGCCACTGTGCCCGGCCGATATTCTCATGTTGTTATTTTTGAGACAAGAGTCCCATTCTGTCACTCAGGCTGGAGTGCAGTGGCATCATTACTGCTGACTGCAGGCCTTACCTTCCAGGCTCATGCAGTCCTCCCACCTCAGCCTCTCAAATAGCTGGGACTGCAGGTGCACCACCACCATGCCCAGGCAATCTTTTTGTTTTTTGTAGAGACAGGGTCTCAAGATGCCCAGGCTGGTCTTGAACAACTGGGCTCAAGCGATCCTCCCACCTCAGCCTCTCTGTATTGAGATCACAAGTGAGCCACCATGCCCTGCTTATTTTGTTATTTTAAACAAATCCTGATAAAAATCTCACTTACATAATATTCCTGCCCAAATGCACAATCTGATTATAATAAGGAGACAACATCTGGGCCAGGCATGGTGGCTCATACCTGTAATAAGATGGGAGGATAGATCTCTTGAGCCAGGAGTTTGCGAGCAGCCTGGGCAACACGGTCAGTCCTTGTCTCCACAAAAAGTGAAAAAAACAGCCAGGGCAACATGGCAAAACCCTGTCTCTACAAAAAATATGAAGATTAGCTGTGCATGGTGGCAGGCACCTGTAGTACTAGCCATTTGGGAGGCTGAAGTGAGAGGATCGCTTGAGCTTGGGAGGTCAAAGCTGTAGTGAGCTGTGATCATGCCACTGTACTCTAGCCTGGGTGACAGAGTAAGATCCTGTCTCAAAAAAAAAAAAAAAAAAAGAAAGAAATTTAAAGACAAAGGCTAGCCTGGGTGCCGGGGCTCACAACTGCAATCTCAGCACTTTGGGAGGCCAAGGTGGGAGGATCCCTTGAAGCCAGGAGTTCAAGACCAGCCTGGGCAAGAGAGAGGCCCTGATTCTACAAAAAATACAAACATTATCCAGACGTAGTGGCATGTGCCTATATTCCCAGCTACTCAGGAGGCTGAGATGGAAGGATTGCTTGAGCCTAAGAGGCTGACGTTGTACTCTAGTGTGGGTGACAGAGCAAGTCCCTGTCTCAAACACAAACAAATAAAAAAAAAAGGCTGAGGAATTGTTCCAAATTAAAGGAGACTAAGGCTGGGCGCAGTGGCTCATGCCTGTAATCCTAGCACTTTGGAAGGCCAAGGCGAGTGGATCACTTGAGGCTGGGAGTCTGAGACCAGCCTGTCCAACATGGTGAAACATCTTCTCTACTAAAAATACAAAAATTAGCCAGGTGTGGTGGCGGGCACCTGTAATCCCAGCTACTCGGGCGGCTGAGGCAGAAGAATCACTTGAAACTAGGAGGCAGAGTTTACAGTGAGCCAAGATCACGCCACCGCACTCCAGCCTGGGCGACAGAGTGAGACTCTGTCTCAAAAAAATAATAATGAAATAAAAAGAATAAAGGAGACTAGGAAGTGACATCTCATTGTGATACACAATCCTCAAGTGGAAAAAACATGGCTGGAAGGGACATTACTGGGATATTTAGGAAACTGAACAGGAATGTTGTATCTGATAATTGCCTGGATTTCATCACTGGATTGTCGTTACATCGGGAAATGTCCTTAGTTTTAGGAGGAGTATTTAGGCATGAAGGACCATATGCGTAACTACAGCACATGGCTCGGGGAAGACAGTCCCTCCTCAGCCTTCAGTCAGTGTCTGTGACTTTGCCAGTTTCCTGAGGGGTCGAGCACGAGGACACTCTGCTTTCTTGTCTCAGCTCTCATAGTGCAAACAAGTGTCCTTTTCACAGTCTACTTAGTGTCACATTTTCCACATTTTTATGCTTTTTGTTGGTGATTTTGCCATTTATAATGGTTCCCAGCTGGGTGCAGTGGCTCATGCCTATAAACCCACTGCTTTGGGAGGCCAAGGAAAGAGGATCACTTGAGCTCAGGAGTCCAAGATGAGCTTGGGCAACACAGCGAGACCCCATCTCGATAAAATTTTTTAGAAAAATTAGCTGGACATGGCTGGGCACAGTAGCTTGTGCCACTGCACTCCAGCTTGGGTAACAGAGTAAGACTCCATCTCAAAAAAAAAAAAAAAAAAATATATATATATATATATGGCTGGGCACAGTGGCTCACGCCTATAATCCCAGCACTTTGGGAGGCCAAGGCAGGTGGATCATGGGGTCAGGAGTTCCAGACCGGCCGACATAGCGAAACCCCATCTCTACTGAAAATACAAAAAATTAGCTGGGTGTGGTAGTAGGTGCCTGTAATCCTAAGTATTCAGGAGGCTGAGGCAGGAGAATCGCTTGAAACCGGAAGGTGGGCTGGGTACAGTGGCTCCCATCTGTAATCCCAGCACTTTGGGAGACCAAGGTAGGTGGACTGCTTGAGGTCAGGAGATCGAGACCAGCCTGGCCAACATGGTAAAACCCCGTCTCTACTAAAAACACAAAAATCAGCTGGGTACGGTGGTGCATGCCTGTAATCCCAGCTACTCAAGAGGCTGAGGCAGGAGAATCACTTGAACCTGGGAGGCAAAGTTTGTAGTGAGCGGAGATTGTGCCACTGCACTCCAACCTGGGGAACAAAGTGAGATTTTGTCTCAAAGAAAAAAAAAAAAAAAGAAGAAAGAAGCCACAAGGTGGAGGTTGCAGTGAGCTGAGATAGTGCCATTGCACTCCAGCCTGGGCAACAAGAGCAAAACTCTGTCTCAAAAAAAAAAAAAATATATATATATATATATACATACACACACACACACACACGTGTATATATGCAATATATATTTATGTGTGTACATTATATATTTGTGTGTATACACATATACATATACATATATATACACACACACACATAAAATAAAGTAGAATAAACAAAATTGTCCCCAAGTGTAATACTAGAATGCTGTCTAGTATTCCTCAATGCAAGATGGTTATGATGGACACACATATGGAGAAAATAGGTATGTTAGATAAGCTTTATTTAGGCATGTGTTCTAGTCCTGTGGGCTGTGAGTTCAATAGTAACAACTCAACCATATATATATATATATATATGTATGTATGTATATTTCTTTAAACAGAAATACACATAAAACAAGATTACATATTGATCAGCTGATGAAAATATCATGACCAAAGCTCACAGGAACGCAACCCTGTATTTCTCCTAGGAGCGATGGTTCGGTATGTGCTAAGTCAGTGTTCACGGTGACTTTACAGATTGCACCACTGCACTGCAGCCTGGGTGACAGAGTGAGGCTCTGTCTCAAAAAAAAAAAAAAAAAAGACTTCTAAAGAAAAGACTGAATATGTATTTCAGATAGACACTATTCATGCAACTTTTTGTAGGTTTGAAATTTCTCAAAATAAAATGTTGAATTTTTTTCTTTTTTTGAGACAGAGTTTCACTCTTTTTTTTTTTTTTTTTTTTTTGAGACAGAGTCTCGCTCTGCCGCTGGGGCTGGAGTGCAGTGGCCAGATCTCAGCTCACTGCAAGCTCTGCCTCCCGGGTTTACGCCATTCTCCTGCCTCAGCCTCCCGAGTAGCTGGGACTACAGGCGCCTGCCACCTCGCCCGGCTAGTTTTTTGTATTTTTAGTAGAGACGGGGTTTCACTGTGTTAGCCAGGATGGTCTCGATCTCCTGACCTCGTGATCCGCCCGTCTCAGCCTCCCAAAGTGCTGGGATTACAGGCTTGAGCCACCGCGCCCGGCTAGAGTTTCACTCTTGTTGCCCAGGTGGGAGGGCAGTGGCGTGATCTCGGCTCACCGCAACCTCCGCCTCCCGGGTTCAAGCGATTCTCCTGCCTCAGCCTCCAGAGTAGCAGGGATTACAAGCATGCGCCAACACGCACGACTAATTTTATATTTTTAGTAGACACGGGGTTTCTCCATGTTGGTCAGGCTGGCCTCGAACTCCCGACCTCAGATGATCTGCCCGCCTCGACCTCCCAGAGTGCTAGGATTACAGGCGTGAGCCACCGTGCTGAGCAAAGTTTTCCTTTTTTTTAGAGCGTCTCCCTCTGTTGCCCAGGCTGGAGTATAGTGGTGTTACCATAGCTCATTGCAGCCTTGGCCTCCTGGGCTCAGGCAATCTTCCTGCCTCAATCTCTCAAAGGAGCTGGAATTGCAGGTGCGATGCCTGGCTAATTTTTTTTTTTTTTTTTTTTTTTGAGACGGAGTCTCGCTTTGTCGCCCAGGCTGGAGTGCAGTGGCCGGATCTCAGCTCACTGCAAGCTCCGCCTCCCGGGTTTACACCATTCTCCTGCCTCAGCCTCCCAAGTAGCTGGGACTACAGGCGCCCGCCACCACGCCCGGCTAGTTTTTTGTATTTTTAGTAGAGACGGGGTTTCACCATATTAGCCAGGATGGTCTCGATCTCCTGACCTCGTGATCCGCCCGTCTCGGCCTCCCAAAGTGCTGGGATTACAGGCTTGAGCCACCGCGCCCGGCCCGCCTGGCTAATTTTTGTATTTTTTGTTTGAGATGGGGTCTCAAACTCCTGGGCTCAAGAGATCCTCCTGCCTTGGCCTCCTGAATAGCTGAGACCACAGGTGTGTGCCACCATACCTGGCTTAAAATTTGTTTTAAGTTTTCGTAGAGGCTCACCTAATCAGGGTGAGGCATAATACCAGTAGCCCAGGCCCAATAAAAACAAGACACAGGAAGGAGGTGTCCTTATGAGTATATTTATGTGTCACCCACACATGTACACACTCAACGCTGGACGGAAGGGAGGTTGAGACGGACAGGAGGCACCCAGGTGGCACTGGCACAGGGGAGGAGAGGGGACACAGCGAGTGTGTGGCCCCACTTTGGCCCCCTCCGGCTCTTCCTGGAGCTGGAAGAACAGGAAATGCTTATTCTCTTAGAGGACAGTTTCAAAGTGCAGAAATTTCTCTTACAAAAAGCCTCTTCCCTCCACGCTCTGCCCCTTGCTGAAGCCCAGCCCCTTGCACAGGCTGTCCGTGAGGCTGGGGCAGGACAAGGTCATGGGGAAGGGCGTAAGGCCAAAGAATTGGAAGGGCCCAGACCACATGGGCCTAGGCATAGTGGCTGCCGGGCGTCAGGGGGTGGTCCCCTCTGTGGTCCAGCTGGTCCTGTAAGCGAGCAAACTCCGCCAGCTCGTTGAGCTCCTGGAACTGTCGGTCCGTCTTATGGCTGACCAGTGAGCGGTAGAAGTGGACGGCGAAGACAATAAAGATCAGGCCGAAGGGCACCATGATGGTGGTCGAGGCGATGGCGGCTGCCTGGCCCGGGGTGATGCCGCTGGTGCTGACGTTGGCGGCTGCACCACTGGCGGGGGGCTTGCTGGTGGGCCTCGGCTGGCCTGGCTGCTTCTTGAGGGGCAAGAACTTGACCCAGCAGAGCAGCACGACCTCGGCCAGGAAAAGCAGCGTGCCGATGACGGTGGAGAAGGCCCAGGCCAGCTCGATGTGGCGGTGCATGCGCTCGTGGGGGGACTCCTTGACCGAGTTGAGGTTGTGCACGTTGCTCACCGCCTCGATGTTGGGCAGGATGCAGGTGCTGATCATGAGTGCAAACAGGTGCACAGCCACCAGCACCGTGGTGCAGGCACTGAAGGCGATGAGCAGCCCTGGCGGGTAGTCGTGGTCAGCGTCCAGCTGCACCTCCACCATTGCCACCTGCAGGGGGACAGGCGGAATGAGTGCCAGCAGTCCCAGCCCCCACTGCTAATCTTCAGTCCTGGCTCTCCTCCTGTCAGGCTCTGCGACCCTGGTCAGTCGCGTGGCCTCTCCAAGCCTCAGTTTTCATTTATCTATAATGGGGATAGTAAGGCCTATTCACCTGGGGATGAGAGTGGCATAAAGTCCTACAGAGAGCAGGAGCCAAGGCCGCCTGGATCTGAATCCCAGTCCTGGCACTCACTAACTGTGCAACCCTGGGAAAGTCACTTAACCTCTCTAAGCCTCAACTTTCTTATCTGTAGAAATAGGGATATAATACTAGTTCATAGGATTTTTTTTTCCCCCAGACAGAGTTGTGTTCTTTTGCCCAGGCTGGAGCCCAGTGGTGCGATCTCGGCTGACTGCAACCTCCACCTCCTGGGTTCAACTGATCCTCCTGCCTCAGCCTCCCAAGTACCTGGGACTACAGGCATGTGCCTACACTTGACTACTTTTTTGTACTTTTGGTACAGACAGGGTTTCACCACGTTGGCCAAGCTGGTCTCGAACTTCCAACCTCAGGTGATCCACCTGCCCGCCTCAGCCTCCCAAAGTGTGGGGATTACAGGTATGAGCCACCACACCCAGCCAATTCATAGAATTATTTTAACAATTAAATGAGAGCTGGTACATGGTACCACCTCCCAAATCACGGCTATTACCACCTGGTCAGGTATTAGAAACCAGCCGCAGGCACAGTGGCTCACGCCTGTAATCTCTACACTTTGTAGAGGCCGCGGTGGGAGGACTGCTTGAGGCCAGGAGTTAGAGAGCAGCCAGGCAACACAGAGAAACCTCACCTCTACAAAAAAATTTTTTTAATTAGCTGGGGGTGGTGGTGTACACCTGTAGTTCTGGCTACTTGGGAGTCTGACGGAGAAGGATTGCTGGAGCACAGGAGTTTGAGGTGGTGGTGAGCTATGACCGCACCACCGCCCTCCAGTCTGGGCACCAGAGCAAGACCTTATCTCTAAAAAAAATAAAATCAGGCCGGGGCCAGTGGCTCATGCCTGTAATTCCAGCACTTTGGGAAGCTGAGGTGGGTGGATCACCTGAGGTCAGGAGTTGGAGACGAGCCTGGCTAACATGGTGAAACCCCATCTCTACTAAAAATTAAAAAAAATAGCTGGGCGTAGTAGCACACGCCTGTAATCCCAGCTACTTGGGAGGCTGAGGCAGGAGACTCACTTGAACCCGGGCAGTGGAGGTTGCAGTGAGCTGAGATCGTGCCACTGCACTCCAGCCTGGGCAACAGAGTGAGACTCTAACTCAAAAATAATAACAACAATTAAATAATTAAATTAAAATTAACAACAACCACCATCAGTGGTCAAAATGGTAAATTTTGTTATGTGTGTTTTACTATGGTTAAAATAAAAGCATTTAAAAAAGCAATCACCAGCCACCATTCCTGTTGGCCCCACATCCTCACACCCAAGCAGAGGCTTGTCCTTCATGCCCTGCTCTGAGGACATGCAGAGGGGTGGTGGCTGCTCTCCCAGGGCACACCCAGGCCCTTCTGAGAACACAGTGCACGACCTGAGAAGTACAGAGCAGGCTTCCCAGAAGCGATGGGCTCAGCTGGTGCAGGCTGAGTGGCCAGTACACCCTGGGGCTGTCTCCTCCCCAGCTGCAGGGCTGACCACCAGCTGTCCCCAGTTCCTGGAGACCTGTGGACCCGAGGTCACCAGGAGCATGCTCCGGGCCAGACACCCGCTGCTCCTCACCTGGGCCTTGCAAGTCACCCCCATGCAAAGGAGCCAGCTCATCAGATCTGGGCTGGGAACAGCCAGCAGTGGGCACACAACCACGGTCAACCCATGAGGGCTGGAGGGACGGGGGTAGGGAGATGGCGGTACCTATGGCAGTCATTCCATCAAGGACAGTGACTCTTTATAAGGTGTTTGCTATGTATGTGGCAGGCTCAGAGTGGACAGCCTAATGGTGAAGTTTCTCCATTAGCCGCACACCAGCCTGGCCCCCAGCAAGCAGGGAATTCCTGTCCTCACCCCTCCTGCCCTAGGTAGGGGTGTGGGCTCCTTCCTTCCCCACTGCTCTCCTTTTACAGTCTGCCTGGCTTCGACCCTGACTCCCCTGCCCTTGATTAGCCTGTATGACTCTGGCAAGCTCTCAACTTTCTGCACCTCTGTTTCCACATCTGTAAAATGGGAATAAATGGGACAAGCCTCGAAGGCTTCTTGTGAGGATTAAGAGTCAATCCATGTAAAACAGGTAGTGTCTGGCACACAACAAACCCTCAATAAAAGCGAGCTTTATTATTACCCAGTTTAGGAACCTCATCCCCACCCCACAGTCTCTTTATAACATCCTCCTGGGGCTTCTACCCTCCTGCAGAGGGGCACGCTCAGGCAGAAAGAACGCCAGGTCAAATCGGCAAACCCATGTTCCAGCTCCATAACCGCCTGTTCACCCGTAACCTTGGCCAAGACCCTCCTCTCCACCCATAAAAGAAGGGGATGCAGTGAGATGAAGGTCACAATCTGGATCTGACTTGGGGTCGGATATCTCTGAGAATCTGAAGATGGTGGACACTATCCTTTTCTTTTTTTTTTGATGGAGTCATTCTACCGCCCAGGCTGGAGTACAATGGTATAATCTCAGCTCACTGCAACCTCTGGCTCATGGATTCAAGTGATTCTCCTGCCTCAGCCTCCCGAGTAGCTGGGATTACAAGGGCCTGCCACCACGCCCAGCTAATTTTTGTATTTTTAGTAGAGATGGGGTTTCACCATGTTGGCCAAGCCGGTCTCGAACTTCTGACCTTGTAATCCACCCGCCTCGGCCTCCCAAAGTGCTGGGATTACAGGCGTGAGCCACCACACCTGGCCTTGACACTCTCCTTAAAACAGCCAAGTATCATTTATTGACAGGACTTTTCTGACAATTTCAACGGGATTCGCAGGCTTTTGTCTAAGAATGCCCTCAGTGGACGTCGGTATGTACTTTTCAGTCCAGGCATTTACAAAACATTTCAAACTCATATAAATTTGGGGCAATGCCATCAGAATTTCTACCGTGTTTAAGATCTTTGGTGGCCGAAAGCCAGCCCTGAGAATTCTGAGTCCATGCGGGTGAGGGTGTCTCGGCACATGTGGGTGCTGGACACAAGACGTGGCACAGGTCACCAGGCCACGGCAGGTGGAGGGCCACATCCTGCAGCTCCCTTGTCTCTGCACCCGGGTCTGCCCACACCTGGAAGAGGAGAGCCCCTTCCAGCAGCCAGTGTCTCCTGCCACCTCCCCACCCCCAGCACTTCCTCTTCCTGCTCTGGTCTGCCACCCCGGAACCTGAAACCGGAGACAGGACAAGCAGCAGCGGCCGTTAGTGAGCTGCCCCAGGTCCACTGCTACTGATCCACTCACTGGAAATGTCTGGAGCCTTTAGGTGTCTTAGGCCCTGAGCTGGCCGCTGGGGTGTGTATGAGGGGCCTGTACACAGGTCTACAGTCCTACTCTGCTCCCTACTTGGTGCCTCACCTGCGCCCCAGCCACCCTCAAGGTAGTGTCTCTCCCCCTCTATGCAGTCAGGACCACAGAGCACACCACACGGCTGGCTGCAAACTGGCTCCTCCACTTCCACAGCTATTGACCTTGGATAAGGTTCTCAGCCTCTCTGTACCACAGCTTCCACATCTATAAAACAGAGGCTGACAGGCGTGGTGGCTCATGCCTGTAATCCCAGCACTTTGGGAAGCTGAGGCAGGTGGATCACTTGAGGCCGGGAGTTCCAGACCAGCCTGGCCAACATGGTGAAACCCTGTCTCTACTAAAAATACAAAAATTAGCCAGGCGTGGGCCGGGCGCGGTGGCTCATGCCTGTAATCCTAGCACTTTGGGAGGCCGAGGCAGGCAGGTAACTTGAGGTTAGGAGTTCAAGACCAGCCTGGCCAACATGGCGAAGCCCCGCCTCTACTAAAAATACAAAAAAAATTAGCTGCGTGTGGTGGGACGCACCTGTAATCTCAGAAAATTGGGAGGCTGAGGCACAAGTATCACTTGAACCTGGAGATGGAGGTTGCAGTGAGCTGAAATCGTGCCATTGTGCTCCAGCGTAGGCAACAGAGTGAGATATCATCTCAAAAAAAAAAAAAAAAATTAGCTGGGGTGTGGTGGTGGGCACCTGTAATCCCAGCTAATTGGGAGGCTGAGGTAGGACAATCTCTTGAACCCAGGAGGCAGAGGTTGCAGTGAGCCAAGATAGCACCACTGCACTCCAGTCTGGGTGACAGAGCATGATCTCAAAAAAAAAAAAAAAAAAAAAAAAGAGAATCCCATGAGTTATTAATACCATTATTCTTCTTTCACAAACAAGGAAACTGAGGCTTAGAAAGGTAATGTCAGCTGTCCAAAGGGTTACTCTGCTGCTGGATTCAAAACCAAGTCCACTTGGCTCCACAGCCCGGGTATGAAGGGGGCAAAGGAGCACCTCCCTCACATGGTGGCTGAGATTAAACGTAGTCTTCATATCTAGATGTTTAGCATAGCGCCAGCTACAACAGCTCAACAAATCTTGGTTAAAAAGAAAAACACAGGGCTGGGCGCGGTGGCTCACATCTGCAATCCCAGCACTTTGTGAGGCTGAGGCAGGCAGACCACATGAGGTTGGGAGTTCGAGACAAGCCTGACCAACATGGAGAAACCCTGTCTCTACTAAAAATACAAAATTAGCTGGGCATGGCAGCGCTAATGTGAGACCCTATTGCACACACACAGAAAAAAAAATTAGCTGGGTATAGTGGGCATGCCTGTAGCCCCAGCTACCTTTTTTTTTTTTTTTTTTTTGAGATGGAGTCTCACTCTGTCACCCAGGCTGGAGTGCAGTGGCATGATTCGGCTCACTGCAACCTGCCCCTCCCAGGTTCAAGCGATTCTCCTGCCTCAGCCTCCTGAGTAGCTGGGATTACAGGTGCCTGCCACCATGCCCAGCTAACTTTTGTA